AGGCTCATTTGGTGAATATGATTACAATGACGAACAATAGACAACGTAGGCCTAATTAATTATTTTGAATTTGAGATCGTCTTGAATAATATGAAGGAGAATACTCTAGTTGATAGATCAGTTTTATGTGCACTTTGAGGTGAATAGAATAAATGACTTTAGAAATTAGTTCACTGTAGCTAAAAAATAAATTCTTGGTTGGTAACACGTTTTTGAAAATGTGGCAAAAGGTAAGAAATGTCATGGCCAAAGAGTCCATATTATCTAAGCAACCACTTGTACACAGTTATTTTATGCTGTTAAGTTGTTACATGGTATATATTCATCTCCATGTACATGCTAGAGGTAGAGAATTTATATTGAACTTTAATTATTCAGTAGTAGGCTATGTTTTTGTTTAATTCAATAGACTTTTGCAAACAGTAATACAAACAATGAATTTTGACACTGTAAAGCATGTAGGCCTAGGTGTCACGTCAAGTCGGGTGGATTGTCAGTCGTAAGTGTGTAATTATGTAGTGACATATATTCAGCGTGAGGATTACTGACAAGTTTTAAGTCAAAATGTGAGTTTCCTTAAGCCAGGCAAACACTGCGCCGACGCTCTTCGGCTGACGCCATTCCATCAAGGCAGATTCCATAAAGAACTCTACGCGGAGAGCCGCGTGCAACTGATCGTGTTAATGAAATTCCGTTTAGTGTGCCACAAACCAAGAACAGCAGACTACATCACATCGTCAAGTGCTCACAGAGAACAAAGATATGTTTTAACACAAATAATGGAGAATGTGAAGATATGTACTTTCTTTAATGTAAAACAAACAAAATATCTTGAATCAACAAGCACATCTGTACTATAATATTCTGATGACTTAAACAAACGTATACAAAATAAATTTAAAATTATTTATAGGCCTAATTTTAATAGTTAGGAAATGTAACTGTATAGGAAAGTCCATGACTTTAACACTTACAATTTTTGTTATATGTATTCATGTTATAAGAACACCGAGACTGAAATTGCTTAAAAATAAAGAACAAATTGAGGCTGAGGCAAAATGTCAAATGAGATTTTTGTTTTTAAAAACTAGAAAAACCAACAAATGTTATCTGTACTACCTTAATGTGTAGTGTAGGCGTGACTATGTAATACCCTTTATGATACAGTACAGTAATATACAGAGCCTGTACAATAATCATTTTCAAAGTTTGATAAGTGTGTAAAATAAAATAATTTTGAGTCTGAAGTCGGCCTGGGTAAAAGTTTACTGGTTCTTATAAAAAAAAAATGTATTGTCGAAATGAACCGAATTTGTTTAATGTATGCGTCCATTAACATCACTGCTGGTCAAAATGTATACAATACATTTTCTGACGGCAAGGGTAGTAAATCAATTGATATAAAATAGCTTTTCAATAAAATATAATATCGGTTTGAAATTAGGAAATAATGTCTTTGGACAGGTATTACTGATAAGTTTTTAAAATAATGGTAAATTATAATTGTATCATATTCCGAAAATAGTGATTAATAATTGTTGACCTTAATGCAGTGGGGCTACAGTACCTATGTATTTGCCTATTGTGATTTGTTTAGCTGTTCGTTCCACTTTTTAATGCAACTCATGATCGGGCGACCAATAGCAACATCTGTTAGTTGCACAAAATGTCCATGTTATAAAAACTTAGTCCTCTGTTTATTCTTCAGAAAATTTAGAGAATTTTTGCTGGATATACAGTTATATTACCACCAGCTTTAGCACTGTCCTGAATTTTTATGATTTTAGGAGTGTCTAACATGAGAAAATCAATAGCTTGGACATACAATACTTCATTTGACCAAGAGCCTGCATGTTAACATAATATTTTGTTTTATTATAATTATTACATTATTATTGTTTGCACTATTGTTTTTTCATACTAATACTATACAGTACTAATTTTTTTCTTAAAATCATTTTACACTAAAGTACGCATAATTAAATAAACTAAGAATAGCAGAAATACTGTAGCACTAATTTCCAGTTATACCATCTGAAATACCTTACATATAACCCAGCTTGGAAAAACAGCTCAATTTTAAAAACATTAAAATTCTGACAACATTCTACTGACCACTTTGTAATCTGACTTAAAAAAATTTGTTTTATTCTCATATTTTTAAATTTTACCTTCTATTTTGATTTGTTATCATTCATTGTAAATTTATGAATGTTGTTTTGTTTCCTGCAATGTTGTGCTCATGTAGAACATGACCTGGAATTTGTGTAGGTTTAGGTTTTTCATATGCTGAATAAAGAATGATAGTTACTTTTACTTTGTTTTTATAATACACCTAAATATATTGTATACATAATATGTTTACAGCTTAAAATCTTTTCTGAAAAGTGGTTTGCTAAGGCCTGTACTGTATTTCACAGTAGCTGCTTGGACTTAACACGAGATACAATGAAATGAACTACTGTATTGCCGTGCTTGATGCATCGCTCCAAAGGACTTTTCTCTTGTAAAATATTTAAATGTTGATTCTAATTCAGGCTTCTAGCTTTCACCAAGGACTTTTAGTTGTTGCAACAATTTGTGACTGGCTCTGGAAGAACCAGCCATCTATCGGAAAAACTGAAAATTGAGTTTTTGGTATTTTCAGATTCAACATAAATTCTGTTATAAAAGAGAAGCAATAAAGTTACTTACTACTTCTTTAAAACAGTGTTTATTTGATTGAAATTGGTTGAGTGTTAGCAAAGTTATGCATATAATTCATCGGATAGCAATCATGTACTGTAGGTTTTGAGAAACAACTTCCAAAGATTTCAAAATCAATAGTTTATTATTAAGATTTGTATTTTAAAATAATTTTAATATACTTTTCAATTGGATTTAGTGATTGATATTTTACTGTGTAATCCGGATACCGTATATAATCCCTTTATGTTAGGCATTATTTTGTTCAGTTGTCAATGGAACGAATCAGAAACTAGATGCCAATGGCGGATCTAGGGGAATGAATAGGGTGGCTAACCACCCCCTTCTGTTACAGTTAAACAAATGATCACTCGTCTTCTGTGTGTGTGTGTGGGGGAGGGGGGTGTCTCTCGTGAATACATGATAAGTGGAGACGAAGGCCTTTAAAATGTTTATGTTATCTCCTGTAAACTAATGCCTCGATCATAACAGTTATTTTTGTGATGCTAATGATAGCTGTGTTTTGATATATTAGTGAAATTTGAGGCTCCTTTGCAAAATGTGTGATTTAAATATTTAAAAAAAAAGAATCACATTATGACTCTATAGGTAGGCACACCTACTCATTCCAATTGGAATAAAGGGCTAGTCCGGGAATTTAGTGGTTCAGAGGCTTTTGGAAAACAATTCTTATTATTCCCTTGATTTTTCTTAATAACTTCGTCTGTAATTGTCTCTATGGCAGTGTGGTTTGGATGCTCCTTTATTATATTTATTTATATTATTTACCCTAGGTAACCTGATCAGTGCGTAAGCATTGTTATTCTCTAGCCCAGTTATTGAAGCAGCACAGTAAAAAGATGATGACGGTCGGTAATTGTTGGGAGATACAAAGCTATTAGGAAAGACTTATTTGAATTCAAATATTGAATTTTGTGATTTATTCAGAAAAATCACTTTATTATAGCCTATAATAGGCTTATGCCTCTATACGGTATAAAGGCCTATCTTTCAGTCGGAACAGAAAATAATTGCGGATAGATACAATTTTCTGAAAAGACACCTACTACAATTTGATATTTTTAATTATATTTATAAATAAATTTCATATTATCGATTATATTTTTATAAGACAGATATTTCTTGTAGTGAACACCCCTCAGAAAGTGATAAGACAGTTTAATCTAGGCGCGCCATGTATTAAACAAAACCACTTCCGATTTAGAATTCCGAGTTTGGGCAGAACGGTATCGAATAACAACATTCAGCGCAATCGATTTGTATATTATTTATCCATTACCCATATACGGTTGCATTATTACAATGAACGCTATATTATATATCACGTAGTAAGACAAAGCGATGTTGGTATTTAAAATACATTTCGTGAAGAATATTAATATGAAAAGTGTGTTATTTATCCATGTATCCAATGAATTTAGCACCCGGTTCACAGGTTATTTAATTATAGGCCCTATCGAATAGAACACCCTTTATTGAGCCTTTGATCAACCAAGGTCAAAGTGATTTAAATATACAAATTGCACAGTGTAAATCTGGTATAACACGGAGCTGACTGATTTTTCCATAGAAGAAACGGTATTTAAATGTGATGTAGATAAAGTTGTCATATAAATCAATACATATTATCTCAAGGAATTTATCATTCAATTCGATTTCATAATTAAAATCTTCAATTTAATTTCCTTTATTGCTACATTAGTCATATTTGGCCTATATCCGCAAAAATAAAGGACAATAAACACGGTTGGGACGTCACTAAACTTAGGTCCTAATGACCCTCATTTATCATTACAAGCAATTATTTATATGTTCATTAGTGAAACTAATAATAATTGCAATAATATATGTTTCAATAATGATTATTTCAATATTAACAACCATAATGAGAATAATAATGATGATGACGATGACAATGATGGTGGTGATGATCATAATAATAATAGTAATGCTACCATATTTTTTCTGTTTTTTGTTTCAACTTAATTAAAATTTACATTATAATTATTACAATTACACTATTATTATTTCATTTTTATTATATATTGATTTCATGTATTCAATTATTAAAATAATTGTGACAGTTTGCACTCAACTACGTCAAACAATTACGTCGATAACGACTCGTTTTACTAATAGAATGGCCTAAATACATTCTTAATTCACGGCCTATAGATAGAAGTTAACACAAACATACCTTTTCAAACAAGTAATATTGGGCTTGGTCTATGAATGCATGCCATGAAAAAGAAAATATGAGATGTGTTATTCATTACTTGAGTATAAATACTTACGCGATACTCCTAAATTGTCCGCTGTCTGGAAGAAATCATCTAAATCTTGGTCAACTGTAGTGTAGAAGAAGATAACTTCGACTGTCGAGGCGTTCAGTTTTTCAAGGAATTTATCCCGTTCCTCTTTCCCACCAGTAACCTGTAGATACGTTTCAAATGCGACACAAATGTTTTTTACTTTTAGTTCATCTATGAACATCCGGAGCCCGTTCCGTCCGTACGTGTCGTCAGTACCAATTGCACCAACCCATTGCCAACCGAAGTATTCAGCCATCTGTGCCAGAAGCAATGACTGCGACTGATCTCCAGATACCGTCCGGAAAAGCGTCCTATAGATGTTCTTGTCTGTTAACATTTCACTGGTAGCCCACGTTGCAATCGTGGCGATGCTATAGTGCGCAACAATCGGTCCGATGGTGATCATACTACTAGATAAAGCACCAGAAACGATCGCTATTACCTTAGAATTATTTGTCAAGTTTAATGTAGCCCCTGCCGCTGACACAGGGGAGTTGCAAAACTCTTGTTCATTGTACCCGAGTTTCAAATCCCCTAAATCAATGTACCTTTTCTGTTTAATCTCCAGAACTGCAAATCTAGCGGCAGCTGCCGCCATGTAGTAAGGAGTGTAAAAATCAACACATGTTTCCGTAGGTGGCCCTGTCGTCCATGAGGTATTCACATCAGATCGCTCGTGAAGGGGAAATATTCCTCCAATTAATATCTCACCGTCGATATTTCTCGATACATTGCTGCTACATACTGCTCCAACTGACAAACACAATTGGTAACTCAACACCAAAAGACAGAAAAAGATAAGAAAAATCATAACTTCCGTAATTTAGGTATAAACACAGTGTATCGCATTCAGATTTATACGCTGTGTGAAGGAAGAAACCTACTAAACTGTTACGTTGTGTATGCTCTCTATATTATGCTGTTCTGATAGCATAACCTGGTTGTATCACTGCAAGAGGTTTGCATCTAATTGGTTGTTTTAAACGTTACCGAAGCATTCAAGCGAACTAGATCACGATCCGTGATAGTGTCTTTCCTATTGGCTCAAAATAAGCACGCGTACTGACGACACATTACTTCGTCATAATAATACTTTATTAATCGACACAGTCTTCAAACAACTTTCATAAAAATGAGTGAGCGGGAAAGTAAGGCATGCATGTACTCCACAAGGATTCATTAATAACGGCTCGAATGCTACTGCATCTTCTAACACGTACCGTACCGAGGCCTATATTGTATGATTTATAATTATTAGTATGACTATATTGTCACATGAACAGCTATCCAATTGTTTCAACGTCTACTTTTGAGTATGTAGACAAAAAATCATGAATATTAGATAAGTGGATGTATATTACCAAACTAGAATAGGCCTACGTTTACCAATCTCTCTATAACATTTCAGAAAAATAGGTTGTTTTTAATCAACAAAATGTTTGTGATATTATCAATATAATACAAATAAAAATATTAACAACAATAATATTTATTACAACCATAACAAACAAATAATAATAATAATAATAATAATAATAATAATAATAATAATTATTATTATTATTATTATTATTATTATTATTATTATTATTATTATTCAGCAAATACTATAAACAAAAATTGAAGAGCAAAATAAATAACACACATTTGAGTCATAGCTCACACAAGAGTGTCTATAACCGCCAGTGGCAAAAAGCACATGTTATAAGAAGTAAAAAGGTAACATAAAACTAGACATATATTGTTTTGTATTGTTACGTACAATACAACATGTTTCTCCTAATGTTAAAAAATACATAAAAATATAAAAATAGTATAGATATAAATAATGTTTTAACTTAGTTGCTATCAAGCGTTTAGATATCATTGTTAATTTGATTGAATTGTATTCTATTGACATTTTTTAAAATCCTTATTTTATTGGATTTCACACATTATGACGTGTGTAACGGCTTACTGAATTATATTTTAGATAATAGGCTGCATAATATCATGGCAATACAAGGATAAATACATTGGTTATACATTCAATTACAATAAAATGCAATTCAGAACTTTCTGATGTGATACAGTTTAAAAGCGTAAGGTTGTAAAATCAGTGAGATTGTGCAAAGAATTATTCATGAGGATGAACGAGTGAAGTTAAAAAATTACTGTACAGTCCTGATAGTTTGAATAATTTTCTCCCGTTTGTATCATGTGCAGGCCTGTATGCAGGGGGTGCCCTCCTTCCCCCTTCTAAAATTACCAAAGGTCTACATTTTAAAGGGGTTTACATTTAAAACTCACATTCTCATTTTAGGAATCCATCCACCTAACCTTTTTGACTAATCAGAGCAGTTTCCAACTAAAAATGCCTCTAAATTGTCGTACAACCAACGACTTTTAACTGCTTTTGAGGAATTTGAGTGGTTTGCTTGCCGCTTGCGTGTCAATGATTCACCTGTGGTGGATCCTGGAATTCTCACTAAAGGGGGTCCGGGCCGCTCGACCATTGTTCACCGCGTATAAACTCATATTTCTTTTAAGTTTCTCTAAAATCATATTTATTCTAGAAGGCGCGGATTTAGACCTTCGTATGTACCGTTGGACATTTTGAATCGGGATCCTTTAGCCAACGTCCATTAACAGCAGCATTAACAGCAGCAGCAGCGACGAAGGAATGTGAGGATGACATTTAATGTATCCTCTACTACCCCTCTCCCCTAAATTTGTCAAAATTATTTAAAAAAAGAAAATAAATTCATATTCAAAATTAGGTCTGAGAGCGCCATTTCCGGCCATCCGGCAATATCATAAATTGTGTTACCGTACCTGTGCCCGAAACTATGGGAGGGTGGAGGTGTTATAGACGCTCAATCTGCGAAAGTATGTTCATTGCCCCCTTTATTTCGAACTTCTAGTTCCACCATTGATAATGGCCGATTCAAAAAGGACCAGTCCTAAATTTTTCAAAATAAAAAATTTGAAGAAAAAAGAAAATGATATTCAGATTGTATAAGAGTCCGGTCATTTGGAGGTACCATAATCATAAATTTTCTCCCTCATTCCCAACCATGGTGAGGCTGAGGTGGTATCTTCCGCATCTGTGAGAAGTCCCTCTCAGTCTTCAACTTCCTGTATCCACCCTTAAAACCGTTTATTACATAGGCCTATGCATCTTTAGTAATCGATTAAATAAGATTTTATCAAAAATGCATGAGCTCTGCCCCCTCGATCCTAGCAGGGTTTCCCATTAGGCTTCATCCTCCCTTCGTGGGTTCGAGTCCCACCCGAGACCAACTTGCGATTTTTTTCGCAATTGTTTTCAAACGTACATTTCAACGTCAGGTAGGGCAAAATTACACTTCTACATGTTTCTCCTGACGCAAATCCAGTTATTGTCTATTCCATCACGACAATAACAATTACTATCAACACTGTACTACCGGCTGCTTACTTGGACTCGAATTCAACCCTGGTCATCAGGCGTAAGCTCGGTGCATGGTCTGAGGTATGATGCCACTAGTGATCTGGAGATCGTGCGTTCGAGTCACACCCGAGAACAACTAGCGATTTTTTTCGCAATTGTTTTCAAACGTACTGAGTATTCAGTACATTTCCTAAATCCTGTTTAGGTTCTGAAAAAAAATGTCTTTATAATGAGAAGTCTGCACAATAAAAATCAGGCTTCAGGTTGTATTAAATAGGCCTACGTATTGAATTACATTATTTGTGTGGCTACATACGAAGATGTTGCAATAACCGAATGAAAACACACTGACACATGGGATAAGAAACACATTATAGGCATATAAAAAAAAGTAAACTCAGTTTACTCACATATAATAACATGTATGAAAATGAATCCTACTGGAATTAAAGCAAATTCAAATGTAGAATTTTACTCTCTTAAAACCACGGAAATTCGTCATAAAAGTTGCACAAGAGGGAGTACATGTTACTGTAATAATAAGCTGTAGATTGTAAAACTACATGGATAAAGTCATTAAACTCATCTGTATTAAATTGAATAAGTACAGGAACAAATAATATTGAACTCTCTTCACTTATGGCATACTGTATGTGTACAATTCACACGAAATGTGTCTAATGCTTCGTTCAACATTTTTCTGCAAAATGCTGTCGAACATAATTTATATAGTATAGTATAGTATAGTATTTATATAGTATAGTATAGTATAGTATTTATATAGTATAGTATAGTAGCCTAATATTTCTTTTGTATTCCTGATGTTTAAAACATTAAAATTGACATTTAAACATTTTTCTTTACCTTTTTCTTTTACTTAAAAAAATGATAGGGAAGACAAGATATATTATCATTTATCTTTATCGATATCAGAATCGTAATTTTTTTCATTCTTATGGTATACAATATTAAAGAAAATGATAATAGCAGTGGAAATGACAATGATAATTAAAATGACAATAAGAATGACAGGCCTACAATAACAATGATAAAATAATAATAATACTATTTTTATTATTATTATTATTATTAGTATATTCCATACAATAATAATATTAATAATAATAATAAAACAACATTAAGAATGATAGGCCTACAATAACAATGATAAAATAATAGGCCTATCATTATTATTAATATGATATAATAATAATAATAATAATAATAATAATAATAATAATAATAATAATAATAATAATAATAATAACAATAAAAATATTAAGCCTGCTCCACTCTTGCAGTAGGCCTACCGACTGAGCTCAAACAAGTTTAATAGGCTTACAGTTAAATTTATGAGTCGAAATAAATTAGAACAGATGGCGGATGATGTAATTTAATTTTGCTATAAAGGATAACACAATAACAACGTTGCGCAGTTCAAATAATAATTTCACATACTATTATTATGTTATTTACTTTAGTTCTCAAGTGACAGATTTAATTTACCAGAGATTGAATGAATAATGAAAATCCTGATTGAATCTAACATTATATTTTCCTTTTGTAAAATATTCTCCCAGGCCAGTAATGAAAACGAAACTTGAATAGCTTTAGCGTCTGTTATTTTAAAGCTTTTTTAAATGTCTTCTTGACATGTGTGTGGAAGCTCTTAGCTCTAATGATAATCAGGTTGCTTTCATGTCTAAACTCTTAACTGATAAATGCACATTTGAAAATAGTGGAATTTTACAATAAAAACTGCAGCCCAATATACTATTGCTCACGCAGGTATGCTAGATCAATTTCGTTACAATGTTTCTAGGACTACCACGTCACAAGTGCTTCGTATGTTCGTCAATAACAACATAGGCCTACAGGTACTATCATGAACACGTTTGTGTGTCTCTTTTTAGTTTTAAGCAGTGTATGCTTGCCACTAGTAACTTGCTTGTTTTTGACCATTTGTTATAGGCTAAATGTGCTCTTTGAGTCGAAATATTTACGGTTCTGATTAATCCCACCTCTTACAAATGTCTGTACTTTTTGTACAGGATGTCTGAAATAAAATTTGAATTGGATTGAATACAAGTTAAAATCGGATTAATTAAACAAAATAAAAGGGATGATGATGATGATGATGATGATGATGATGATGATGATGATGATGATGATGATGATGATGATGATGGTGGTGGTGGTGATGATGATGATGATGACGATGATGAAAATGATGGTGATGGTGATGGTGGTGGTGATGATGATGATGATGATGATGATTATGATGATGATGATGATATTTCCTGAAGGTTTGCATCAATTACAAAAATCATAAAACCTCCGGTAAAACATTTGTACGGTAATAATATGGTTTTTGAATTAAAACTATTCGTTGATTTTCTCGACGTTCCGGTGAGATTGCTCTGACCGTCATCAGGAGGATCCTGAATTGCTCTGAGAGTCATCTCCTGATGACGGTCAGAGAAATCTCACCGAAACGTCGAGACAATATTTATGATTAATAATAATAA